ATTGCCAGGGGAGTTTGGCCGCCTTGTAGGTTTGACTGGCTTCGGAGGGAAAGAAACTACCTCCCCGCGGCCGGACTCCCTAGGCCAATTTTACTCTCTTTTTTGCCGAATTCTACTATCCGTATTCCCGTAGAAAGGCCTGGTGGAGGCTAGAAAAGACAACAGGTGGTTGGAGGCCCTGGGTATCGCGCAAAAGGGTCACAAGGAAGTGCACAAGTTGAAGTTTGTATAGGAACGATAAGAGAGAACAACGTACGAAGTCCTGCCACCCAGGGTAGTATTAGAACTTGTGTAGTACCCTTGGTTTGAACTCTGGACACAGAGACACAAGCTTGTGCGGCGGCACGACTGAAGTAAACAAACTTTGTACAAAAAACACCTGCAACTCTCCGGTTGTCATGTCTTCACCGCGTTCTACGTGACATTTCCATGTCTTCTGTATCAGCAGGGACACTGTCTGATTACTGAACCACCAGGTATTGACACAATTAAGATAAAGAGTTATATATATGCATAAGGAAAGATAAGAAGGGATTTTAAGCTGGTAGAAAAAACGCAAGGAAATGTCGAAAGAAAAAAGCACCTTACAAGGAATTTGAAAAAAAAAAGAGCAGACCGGTATATGAAAACCACTGGCACGAACTGTCAACTTTCACAAAGACAACAAAAACATTGTACCCGCACAAAAGACTGTCCAAGTCACGGAATGTCGTCCGTCAATACCTGTACAACTCCGACCGCGCGGACAAAATACATATGTACATGTATGTTTGAACTGTAACGCTATGTGGAGTCTATATCAATGTCTGTGTGCTACATTCAGGCCATGATTAAGTTAGGATGAGTCTTTTCTAAGCCCAGAGACCCCCCCCCCCCCGCAGTTTAGCAGAACTGTCTTTACCTATTTAGTCACAAACTAAGTCAGGTATAATGCCTAAGCTGAATAGCTATAGTTTCAACGTTACAAGACAAACAGCTACATACAGAATCAATTGAACAATTTCTAAATAAACACGGAAACTGTAAAAAGGTTTGTAACTTACTAGAACTTGCAGATGATACCAAACTTCCTGAAAACCAGACGGCGGGAAGTTAGCGAGAAGTTTCTGTGTTTCCTCAAACTAGAAAACCAGCCAGCCGGCGGTCTGGAGTTTTGCCAGAATAACCTGCGTTTTCAGCAAGTTTCACACCAGCTGACGGAGCAGCTAAGAGTAGGAGCTATGGAGACGAACATGTGAGCACTAACATGGCGTTACCGCTGGCGATAACTCAGAAACTGTGAAATTTTGATGAGTCGGTACCTCCCCTGCTCAGTACGGGCACACAGGCCGGCCGCGCGTCGCCTGGATACCGGCTAGTTAACATGTGTCGCCTGTTTAACCTGTCACTCAACCGGCACGGGGGGGGGGGTGCCCCGGGGGGAAAAAGACAGACAAGAAAGTTCTGAACTATAATAGAAGTCTGGGTGTGGTGTAAAAACACAGGTAGTAACACATAACACAAGGGAATTGCGTCTAAGTACGCTTAAGTAATGATAATTGGCATAGAAATAGTCATAGATTTGTTACAAGCCACCTGTATGAAAGAACCACGTGAAGTATGAAGGGAGGTGGGTGGGAGGGACTTTTCAAACAGCGGTTACACGGACAATCCTTCTGATTGCACACGTACTGCAGAAAATAACCGTACAAAGACAGGGGATTTGTCAACTAAGGATATGCTAATGAAGGGATTTGAAGATTTAGAAATTTCCTGAATGAAAAGCGACTAACTAACGGCAACAAAATGGCACAAAAACGTAGCTGTAGCATTTGTGTATTATATATGTTCACACGGTTATAAGATCAGTCACACTCACAATTACTTCGGTACAGTCTGGAATAGTACGTGCTAATGACAATGTCCTGTAGCCCCGTACCTACTGTGTAATGTTTAAGCTAACTCTTAGCACTTGAGCCATTTTCTCACGAGTATAGGAACGTGCTCCATGTGTGACAGTCTATGGAAAGTTGGCTTAACTCTGTTGTTCTGACTAAGGTGTTGAATGACATGCTTTAACTACAAGTTCAACATTCACTTCAAATAGACAAGTTGGAGGAGGGAGTTAAGCTTATAAAGTTGACACAACCGAACGCGAAGCGCGCACGTGTGTGTTTTTGGCTCTCCTCCGTAGCCATGATTGTAGTCCGTGTTTGATGGACAATATTTAGACAAAACTCAAATGAATATAAAAAGCCCCATTACAGCAAGACGTGCACGATTTCTTACGCCAACAGTTCAGGAAAGTCAGGCAGTTAGTTCAGAGCATATCATATGCCGGAACCTTATGACTATACTACAGGGCTCGAACTTAACGATGTCCCGATGTCCCCTGGCCACTAAAATTTCGGCCGGGACAACTGAAAAATCACTTTGGGACATTTTTGGGACACTGGAAAAATAACGAACATTCACAATCAGAATGTCAGCCGTTCATACGTTTGTCAGGCGCGCAACCCATTTTTGGGCCTCACCAAAAGCCGCCGAATTCGATATACACTCAGCTGAGCAGCGCGTGGCACCCGTGTACGCATGTGGCCACTATTTTGTCGCCCCGCCCATCGCCTTTGATCTATTTGCAGCCCGCCGCCTTGGCGCCACTTTCCCACGCCAGTTCCCAGACATTCTATCCATGTAAACAACATTCAACCAATCACAGCTTCCATCCAATCAAGGCATCT